TGTAAATTTTTTAGAAGTTGTCATCCTAATACACCATTTTATGGCTTAATATTTTTTCTGTTGTATTTAACTATTAAGTCACATTTGGAAAGGAAATACCTATCAATGTGTGCGACTTTAAATTTCATAGATGAATGAAATATTTTATGATAGAATAAATACAATTTTATATAAATGTCATCTTTAAGATTTCTTCAAATTCTTATTGACCCCAAAATGCCATTTTAATAAATTTTAAGAGGTTAAGAATACTTAAGATTATAAAGTTATGCATTTATGAGTACTTTTATTTTGCTCCCACACACTCTCAGAGAAGCACCAAGAAGCACACGTATACTTACACTTTAAATATCACACTACAAATGACAAATGTGCTGCTGTGCACAAGACACTAAAAGTGAAATAAATGAAGTAGAAAGAGGATTCCTAAGAGACTGAATGTTGTGCCATGTTCACTTAGACGGAGGATGTCACACATGAACTCAATTATGAGCACATATGACACTTATTTTAAAGAACAATATTTTTTGTCTTTATCTTTGGAGGACATCCTTGAAGGATCTGGGAAAGTGGCTTGCTTTTTTGTATTCCATTCTCTTTAAACCTCCAAATTTATAAGATGGTATAAGAAAAGTTGTTAAGAAAAGTTGTTATTTCCTATTCTGGACATGGAAACACTGTCTTCTAATGTCAGTTTCCTAGATGAAGGGCATTTGACACATTCATATATGTGAGATCTAGGAACCTCACAAGTGAAGCATATCTGAGATTTTCTCTTTGATCTCTGAGACTAATCGGAAGTTTGGCTTGTTGGGAAGCTCTTTCCCGTGGTGTCTACAAGTAGAATCACAATCTTTTGGTTCCCAGTCTCCCGGTTTTTCTATTTGTTACTGTCTCACTGCAGATCTTGATTTTTGAGCACTAAGATAAAACTGTGCACATGTGACTCACTGAGTTCTCAGGTCTCATGTGTCACTTTTACACTTTCAACACATCAAAACTTTGTCTCATAAAACTTTTATTTGGGCGGTGAGGGATCCAAGTTGCTGAATTTCTTTAAAGTCCTAGTTAGCCTGCTGCAAATAAAGAGAGGACATCCCTCTTTTCCTTGAGTAACAAAATTAGCCTCATCATACATAATAATTAGGTACCTTTATTTAAATTTGATTCATTGTATTGATGCTTGTTATTTTCATGCCACACCCCTGAGCCCCTTTTGGATTATTATAATATCAAACAATGGGTGTTAATATGGAAGGACCTGCACATTGGGCAGATGGCCATTAGGGCTTCAAACCAATAGCTTGTCAGCATGATTTTGTCTTTGACAACATGCTTTGTTTTTATACCAGGGCATAGCACATACTCAGGACTAAGTATGGGTTTTCATTCTAACACCATAAGCTAAAGTTAAGGTCTAAAATTTACTGGAAAGTCAGGACGGTTTATTAAAGAAGCTTTCCTGGTTCTCCGCACATGGCTGTGATTCAGATAAACATGTGAACTCAAATTAGTCTCCAGGGTCCTGGCACATGCCTGAGTGATAATGCTGGCAGATCAGAAGTGGAAAGGTGACAGGGCATTCTACTACTTATATGGTCATTAAGGCTGTATTTCCCTATTGATAACCTGGGTAGATAGGAGAACATGGAGATGTGCCAGGGCTTTGTTGAGAAAAACAACATAAGTTAAGCTTACATAAGCTAAGTTCCATATTCTATTGTTCTCTGCTAGTTGGAGTGTTGACACGATCATTATCCAAGATATCCCAGAATTTTGTGCTTTCTTCTGCGGCAGCTGTTTATTTATATCTATATCAGGTCGTCATGAAGACCTGATATAATAGGCTTTTCAGATTACTTCTCTTAATATTTACATGAAAAGTCTGGATGTAGTATCACACCCCACAGAGCTTGTCTAGAGACGGCTTTTCCTTTGCACCCTCAGGATAAAACTAATTCCAGTATTTGGTCATGCAACGTATCTGGGAATAAAAACAACTGGTATGTTCTTCTGATAATTGGATGGGGTCGGGGGAGTACAAGTTCTACATTACTGGACTTCTCATCCAATCTATGTCCGCAAGGAGATCTGATCATTTACATATCACTTTGCCGTCATTGTCACCCAGGAATCTGAGACTAAGAGTGGCTTCAGGAGAGTCAGAAGCACTGGTTTGAAAAGTAAACTCTTCAGTGTTTTCTTTCTCTGGCCAGAGATTGAAGTCAGTCCCTTGTGTTATTTTCTTTGAGCACTTTTGTAACTGTTACCATCATTCTATGCTTAGGTATTCCACAATAGCTTGCCCACCATTTCAAAGTGGGCTGTGGACTATGAAAAGGAGAGGCAAAGGCAACAAGAAAGAGTGTTCTGCTGTCAGGGTAGGTCTTTTGTGGGAGAGAAAGGGAAGTCTGAAATCATTTAATCTTTCATTGTGTTAAAGTTCAGAGATTATAGAAAAAAACCAATTGTACTTCCTGACTGGCAGATCACCAATTGTTACCTGCATGAATCAGAAAGCACCTGCGGATTTATCTAGATTCTTGTTTCCCGGAACAAAAAGCCGGAGCAGGAGCGTATAGTGAGAGAAATAGAGACAGTTTATTAAGAGAAAGAGAATCACTCCAGGAAGAAAAGTGGGCTAGACAGCTGGAAAAGGTCTGCACTCAGAAGTTCAGAGCCCTGTGGGGGTTGGCCGCTCTGAAGTCATTTGCATGACACCACTTTCTCTCACATTTGCATCTCATGCATTCTTTTCCTTAGGTGCCTGCCACAACCTGAGCAGCTGTGGGTGTCAGAGTGACTTGGAACAGGGGGGGATATAGGCAAAAAGGCAGCACTTTGGGTTCGCCTCGAGAATGAATTATTTATACTTTTGCCTTTGCTTTTTATTCATTGTTTATCTAGTTGCTAGAAATAGCACTGCACGCAGACCTTGATCAAACAGTGTGTTTGAGATCCTTATCTGAGTTCATCTTTTGAAACGCTGTCAATCCCTGTGGACTTGCTCTGCCCTGGAAGACATTCCGCCTAGGCTTGATCTCTTGCTTACACTTTTCCACATTCAAGAAGCCGCATCTGGGACAGGGGTGACAACTCCTAAATAAAGATCTGTAGACCATCTGGACCCCAATATAGGTGGACTCTGACACTTGCAGGCATCCCCGCTAGGGATAGATTTCTAATCCTTATGCTAAGTGGCTTTTTCATCTTAGTCTTGACTCTCTCCCTGTCCTTCTGTCCGTCTTCAGACTAAACCAAACAATTCAAACTCAGCACCAAAAGACTAACGTGTTACCTATATTTTAAGTTTCTAAAGGAACCATGGCCTTTCAAATCCTCAGGCTCAAGAGGAGTGTTCAGCACATAAGCCTATAAAGATTATTCCTCATACAAGTTACATTATATTATGGATGATATGTGATATTTAATACATGCTCAAATTATTTAATACTGACTTTGTATTAAACATATCTTCCTTAACAACATTCATTTATTTAGAATGGAAAAACATGAAGTTCACTGTTCTAGCTTGTTGAAATGTTTTGATATTACATATTTAATATTAAATATAAAATATTTAATTTTTAAAAAGATTTCACAGCAGTTATGTTTGCAACTCAGTCTAAAATACGAAATATCAGATCTTCATTTCTCTTCTTTGTTGTGTCAGCTATTATTTATTGTTTCCTACAATGCCATTTTTTCTTTTAAGATCAGTCCATGATTGTATACTGAATAGAACCTCATCAATAAGAATATTGGAGGCTTAGGCTGTACTGTGTGTCTTCCAGGGGCATCAGTGCCAACCACTTGACTGTTTGTCCTTCATGCCGTCCTATTTTTGCAATCATCTTCTTTGGATTTTTCCTAAGAACACATGTTCATTATTAAAACCATGAGTCTCAGTATGACAGAATTGATATGGAGTAAGTCCTATGCTCAGAGGAGGCAAGCCTCCTTGATACCTCCATTAATTAGAGCATCGATTATTCCTATTTTCTTCAGAACCAGGAGTGGATCTTGCTCCAGTTCCATACTATGGATCTGAAGCACTATTATACCCAAGACTCACATGGGCAAGTATTATTATTATATTCACTAGAAGAGAGCTGTTAGTTACTATGACCTACTAATTCCCAGCTCAGGCTCATACAAAAACTTGAATATTTTCTTTATTTACTCCTTGTTTCATTCTTGAATGATTTCTTATCTCTTTCTGAGAAAAAAAAAGATTAATTGAGGGAGAATTGAGTAATGATTTACTTTATAGTTTTTCCCATCATTAGAAACAGGTCTGTCAAGATCTATCAGAGCAACATGTTATTTATTCTCTCAAATTGTAGAATTTCCACTATTTTAACTTCAAACTTGACAATTGTTTAAGATACTGAACATTCAATAATGTCTGTACAATAGTCCTGTTCCTACACTAGACTTACTTGTCGATGTTTCTGTTCATTCACCATTCCTAGCAAAGGTTCCATCATCTATGTTTTCCTCCGTTAGTAAAGATTTTATTAGTCAAGGAAAGATTATTTACATATTTTGTTATAATGATGATATAACATATGCTTTTATCAAAAGTCAGACTGTTGAAAGGAACGTTCCTTTACATGTTATAAAGTATGGTTAAACAGATAAGGAACCTTACCATTGTTAAGGGAAAGGAAATGATGAATTTGATCATTTCTTGCCTAACAGAATTTATATACCTAACAGAATGTTAATTGATATATATAGACAGACAGACAGATAGATAGATAGATAGATAGATAGATAGATAGATAGATAGATACTACTTTTAGATTGATATGAAATGCATGTTGTTGTAACATATAAGATTGCTAGAATAGATGTATAAAACGTACATCTGTCAACGGTGAATAATTTAAAAAAATTGGAAAATTGGTGTATGTGTGCCTCTTGTGATTTATATATCAGTAATTAGAATTTGCACCCAACTCCTCAATTAACTGTCACTCAAATATTTTTTTCAGCTCTTCTTCAAGTGACAATTTCACTTAGCAAAGTAGAGCTTAGTGTGGGTGAATCTAAATTCTTCACATGTACAGGTATGTATTCAGATATTTTACACTGTGCTTTTAGTTCTTATGGAGTACATTGGATAATTTAAATAGTTAACACTGATGTTAAAAAATAATATCTGAACATTTATTATATGATAATGCTGCAATCAATTATATGATAACATAATGAAATTTATTTTTATTTATTTATCAAAGTAACTAATTTGTTTATAATATTAAATTATAAAATAAAATCTGTACATAAAAACTTCGTGTATTTAAATATTATTTCCATCTAAATACCAAATTAGGCCTAATTTTAACTAAAGTTGAATATGTTATATTAAGTACAACCTGCATAATTCTAACACCTAAAAAAGTTAAATGACAAAATTATATTTATATATATTTGAAACGTAAATTCTAATGAAGAATAGTTATTTAGTCAAGAAAAATTTTTGAAAATATTTCTGACAATCAATGTATTACATGACCTTTCTGCAGAATATTATAAGAACCTCATTCCATTTTTATAACATGATAAGTGCTATTTCTATATATTCTAATTATAATATGATTAAATGGTTAATAATTTCAAATAAAGGTGACATAATAACACATTTCAGTAGGCAAGAGACATTAGGATTTTTTTTTATATAGCAATTGACCTTATTTTCACCAGTTGAACATGGTTTAAATTGTCTCAAAATATTGTAATATCAAAGGTCTAATTTTGTTTTACAAAATAATTACATATTTGTAAGCAATTCTTTATTTGTGCCAACACTTCTGCTGTCTCTTGACTTTAGCAATGAGAATTGAGCATATGAAATTATGTTAGCATTTGTTTCTTTTAAAAAATATGTCTCAGTTTGGCTTGTATCTGTCTAAAGCAGTTTTAATATTTTGTGCAAAAATATCATATATTATGACTGTGAGGCTTCAATTCTCACAGCTTAAATTTTAGCAATATATTTCAGATGAAATGTTTGAAGCTTGCCTCCATGGAACAGACGGAGTCCTTAATGTTGATTAAACAAAGATGAACATTTGTCTTAACATTTGTGTTTGCTTTCAGTTTTGTACAATTTTTGGATTTCCACTCTTTTATTGACATTCTTTTCTAAATTGCTGAAATTGTTACATAATAGTAAATGTCACTGTGAAAACAAACACGCCAAATCGATTTTCAAACATTTGTTTTTCTCTCTGCAGCCATTGGTGAGCCTGAGAGTATAGATTGGTATAATCCCCAAGGAGAGAAGATCATTTCCACACAGAGGGTGATGGTCCAGAAGGAAGGCGTCAGGTCACGACTAACCATTTATAATGCAAACATAGAAGATGCAGGGATTTATCGCTGCCAAGCGACGGATGACAAAGGACAGACACAAGAAGCTACAGTAGTTCTGGAAATTTACCGTAAGTTGTGCATTTGTGTTGTAGTTTATTAAAACAGCAGTTTAATTACAAAAGATTAAAAAACAAGAAGATATGCTTAAAAATAAAAACTGGAACTCAATAATAAATTTCAGGGGGATTGAAGTTCATACATTTTTAAATAGAATACAAAAATATTTTGCTCTTTATAATTTTGATTTTATTATTATAAAATTATAACATATTAAAACAAACCAGGCATTTCATGAAATGTCTTCATCTCTGGCCTTTTCTACCCCTGACACATTAAAATTTTCTGGAAAAGATATTAAAATGTTATTCTATTTTGTCTGGTTCTAAAATAAAAAAAAATAAGTCAGTAAGATATAGGCATAATTTTGATAACATTTCTCATTATTTTTGAATGATGTACAAAATTCTTAATGGTTTAAATATTAAATGATAAATGAAAAATTTGATGCCACAACAATTCATGTGTTTTTGTGGAAAACTCTTGGTTGAGCATAAATATCTGTGCTCATTTACTAAGCCAAGACTCTTCTGATAGAATCTAGTCGGTGTTCTTCTAAGACTTGAACTATAAATAATAGAGATATATAGATGATGTCATATACACATGTAATGGAATTTCCTGGATGATAAATTAGAGGTAGATAGAGAATTCAAAGAGTTAAAGTAGACGGTTAATTTTCAGAACAAACTTCATAGTCAAGAATTCTTAAAAGAAAAAAGCAAAGCTGTGTTCCTGGAGCACACTGACAAGGTGTGGTGGGCACAAGATCACTGTTTATAAAGTTTTTAAATATCTAAATTCTCACTATAGAGATGACAATATGTTAAGTCCAGTAAGTGATACATATTTAACAAGTGGATTTATTTTCTTGCTACAGAGAAACTCACCTTCAGAGAAGTGGTATCCCCTCAAGAGTTCAAGCAAGGGGAGGACGCTGAAGTGGTCTGCAGGGTTAGCAGCTCACCTGCCCCTGCTGTCAGCTGGTTGTATCACAATGAGGAAGTCACCACCATTCCCGACAGTTAGTATTTTGGTAACTCCTTAAGTTATATGTTCTTAAAATACTTCAAGTTTTTCAAATACGAAAGTTCTGTATTGTAGCATAGGAAGCAAAGAGTCAGGAATGATACTGTGTACCAATATGTGTGCCAGTATTCTTGGCACCTAAAAGGCTGACGTGGGGGAGATTTGATCCCAACTTCAACCTGGGACATATAGCAAGAATCTGATTTTGACAAACAACTAAGTAGACAACAAAAAGGATGGTATATTTTCTTTTTCTGAGTTTCAAACAATTATTCGGAGATTTAAGACTTATCTTGAGGTTTATTGTATTCTCATCTTTGAGCCAAATACTATATCACCCCCCCCCTTTTTTTGAGACAGAGTTTCTCTGTAGCTTTGGAGCCTGTCCTGGAACTAGCTCTTGTAGACTAGGCTGGCCTCGAACTCACAAAGTTCTGACTATTCCCTTCCAAGTGCTGGCTCCTTGTTTCTTTTAATAAGAAAGCAAAAGAAAGACATGTTACCAGTCATGATGATAAGTGCCTGTAATCCCAACACTTGTTGAATAAACATAGAAGAGTCAGGAGTTGAAGGTCGTCCCAGCTTCATAAGACTCCCAAAACCAACCTGGAATACCTGGGTACAGATAAGCACAAAATAAAACAAAACAAAAGCCCCCAAAACAAGCACACAATGAAAACAAAAAACAAAACAAGCAACAACAAAAACACCCAATCAAACAAATAAAAAACAGAAAAAACAAAATCAGAAAATAGCTATGCTCATATGTAGTTTATGGCAGATTTGGCAGCAGTATTATCAATTGATTTATTACAGAAAGACAAAAAATTTACTATGAGTACTATTTTAAAAAATGTGTGCTTGACTTCCATTCCTACCAGATACTACTACACTGTTAAAAAATAAAAAAATAAAAAAACAAATAAAGTAGTTAACAGTAAAACACCCAGAATCTATTTGTTATAATTCTAATACCATGAGAATACTATATACAAGCAGGATATAATATCAGTATGAAATAACTTTGTGTTCTATGAATGTTCTCTTAAAAAAAGTGACATATTTTAAGTATTATAGAAAGACATGTATGGATAATTGACAGAAAAGAATTTTTGTTCAAATTGGCATCATGATTTTGATTCAGATTTAGGTAAAATTCCAGAATATGACATTTGTAATTGAAAGCATAATTTGCTAACATTATGTTACTTTGCTATTGTGAATAGGAACATTTTCAATTTGTTATATATTTCATTGTACCTGCATTACATAGCAGTACAAATAATTGAATCTTTTAAAGTATTTTTCATGTTAGATGATTCCATTATGTGCTTTGAAGAGATGAAATTTCCACAGCATAAAAGAAAGTAGCATATCTCTTTTAAAGTGTGACTAGAGAGTGTGTCATAATTATGCTTAATAGTTGGTATTTTTATTTTAAGATAATTTTTCATGCAGCACATATTTAGTAGTTGTCAGTTAATGATAACTTCATTTTATATTCTAATTTAATAAAATAAAACATTTAATTTCTTTTTATTTTGTTATGTGAAATTCCTACAAGCTTTATACAAACTGCATGAGTAATTTATACAAAATTTTCTCAGCATTGTTCCCCTCAATCTGAAAGGACAGAGGTTTTTATTATAATAATTGAATGGCAATGTCTACACATTTAAAGATTATCAAACATTGGAGGTTGCATTTACATACATGATATAATAAACATTAATCACAAGGAGATTTAAATATTGCTAATGCTTTTGACATGTGACTTGGAACAAAACCTTTAAAAAAAGATAGTTTAAGAAATGCAGCAAGGATGGGAATGGACCCTGCAGTAGCACATCTGACACGGCTTCCAAGCATCCTGCAATGGGATATGAAAATCTGGAAGCTCCATTGGATTCAATGCAACCTTTTCAAACAGTTTCTGTAACTTGTAAATAACCTATCAGGTATTCATAAATGTTTGCTATATAAATGAATGATGTTGCTAAATGTGTGGTTCTCAGTCATGATATTTTTTATTCATGCTTTATATTTTATTCTGTTTTTAATGATGAGGAGGAGTCTTACCAAAGTTATATGTATTCAGCTTATGCCTAGAAAAAATATTTACAAACCAGATATCAGTAGATTTAAATTTTCATATTCCTGAGTTGTATAACATATGATGAAAATAAAATAATTAATGATAATTGTGTAGCTCAGTCTTTTCTAACAGGAATGTTAAAGGCAGATTCTAAACATTTAATACTCAAACAATTCGCCTATTTAGATAGATCTCTAGGAATATTTTTGTGATGCATCTAACGTGTTGTATTTAACAGTTAGTCTAACAAAATTGGATTTATAACTGAAAAGCTCTGTAAAGATATTAAATTAAGTAGATGATCTGGGAGCATTCTTTGCTAATATGTCATTGGTTACTGTATTGGCAGTCAAGGCCAGATATTGAGGGCCTCAGAGAGTTTGTCTCATGTACTTCTGACAGGAGCTGTCAGATATTCAACATGACATTACAAGAGAAGAACTTAAGTAGGCTTTTCTTTTGTTTCTTTCAAGGAGACCCATCTGCTAATGAGCACAGGCACGCAGGAAGCGCCTAAGAAGTATAGTTTCCTCAGTTTTAATCATTACCCAGGAATATATAGACATTACTGAATATGGCTTAATTTGAAACTGTCTCATAAGCTTTGTAAATATTTTAGTTAGCATTTAATAAAGTGGTTTTTTTGTATCAGAATTATAGAAAAAATATCTTATTCAATAAGAATTTATGGAATTATCTGATAGTATAAAAGATTGCATGTTGATTCATTGTTAGAAGACAATTTCATTGTCTTTAAACTGTAGATAGTAGAGAGGAATATGTACATAAATAATCACTTAAAACAAGGTACTCCAAATCTATGAAAGGTAAGTTTCAATGTTCTCATTTAAAAAAAAAAAAACAGGATGCTCAAGAGAGTTAATGAAAAGGTGGGTCTCAAACATGTCTGTCAATAGAAAATTGTCCCTTTGCACAAGCATAGGTATTAGTCTCCTCATGTGAGGACTTTTCATGGCAGAACACCTCACATGCAAGACCTGGTAATAAAAAGCATAATGACATTCTCAGGAATTGTTATAAGATATTAATTCTGGCAAGTCATAAACAAATTTCTACCTATGCAATGTCGAGAAACTATTACAGACAACAGTAAGAATATCATCAAAGCCAATGTGTGAACCAAGGAGTTTTATAGAGGTCCCTTATGTATAGGGAAAAAGTTACTTCCGGGAGTAAGTATATATGCATATACGTATATATGCTTATATATAGAAATGAGTCAAATATATATGCTTCATCAGAATTCTATCCCAGAACAAATTTTAATAAGCAAACAAGGTAGATAGTATCTCTTCCATAAAGCTATCTAGTCTGAAGGAATCTTCCAGCAGTTATTATTGATTATGTAGGCTCTGGGAGAGAAGAGTGGATTCCAGAGACTCCTCATGTTTTTGATTCGTTTACTTTCTGAATGCTAGAGAACTTGCCTGTAAGATGGAACGTCTCACCTTCCCTTAGAACTTCCGAATCTTAAGGAGTTTCCCTCTAAAGCAGATATTTTATAGAAGTGGTGTGGTGATTGCTACCCAGGAGGAACCTAAAAATCAGGGCAGTCTAACTTGAACTTTCATATTCATACAAACTGAATGCTTATGCAAATGACCAGGAATTGTTCTCCTACGATTAAGGAACGTGGAGAAGAAAGACTATCAAAGTCAGCCTCCTTTTGACATTTCTATAAAGATCATAGGGATTTTTTTTAAAGGAATCATCACTGAAGTGTTTCTATAAAGTAATCTAAAATGGGTTTGGAAGCAAGTTGAATAATGTAGATGAGTTTCAAGGCAAAATTGCAAACACTGGCAGTTGTTCAGGTTCTTAGGCAATAATTGCTGTGTGAGAAGACTTTCCACTAAATAATGAATAAAAATAGTGTGATGCCACATAGATTTCTGTTGGTTAAATAAACACCAGGAAACAGAGATAGATACAAAGGATGATTCAGTACATGCTGGAAACAATGATTGTCGTGACTTGTGAGTCTGCCCTGAGTTCCATGTGAAGATATTAAACAGAACTGCATACAGTCTGTGTTTAGTGTGCTTACCACATTCCTGTGTTGTGCTCTGAAGTAAGCAAAAAGAGTGGAGTCTGGAAGAAGGCTTTCCACTATTAAACCGTACCTTCTGAAACATGTCATAGAAGAGAAAAAGCCTGGCATCTTCTTACAAGAAATAAAAACAGATTAAAAGCTGAGAGTTGAAAATTTCAAAATTAAAAGCAATATACATTATTTATTGATTGTTATCTATTTATTTTTTTATTTTAGTTATTAAAATTTAAATTATTTGCAAATGATAAAAAGACTTTTAAACATTTTCAAACTCATAGTTAGTTATGCCTTTATAAAATATCCCTTTTTAGGATATTCATGTCAGTGATGTTCTTTATTTTCGTCACTTGCCAACAACTACAAGTTTTCTATACACGTTGGAATTTTACATGCGATTTCCACAGAAATTGATTTTACTATGGCCTGTTGTATAAACATAAATTTATAAAATAGCAACCATATATAAAATTATTCCTTTAGAGTTTGAATGGTTTCTAATCCATTACAGAAAGTAAATAATTAAGTGGTAATTTGAAAGAGACGTTTTTCTAACCAGAAATTAAAATAATGGTCAATTACTCTCCAAGGTATATTATATGTCTATGACTATCTTTTTATTTTCAGTTGAAACATCACCTTCACCATGTCAATTAAAACAGAGTTCCTTTTTACAATTTCTCTTAGACCTAGTGAAGTATCATAATTTAAGGATTTGGCATATATAGGATATTGCATGTTTTCTGAACTTGGAAAAGACAGTGTAATCAGTCTGATGTGATTGGGAGCATTATCCTCTCTTGAATGGTCTTAAACATAATTATTTCTTTTAAAAAATGTTTTGGTTAAAATATAATTACATCATTTTCCTTCCTCTCTCCTCCCTCCAACCCTTTATATATCTTTTATCAAGTGCTCAAAATCCATACTCTTTTTAATTATGTACTACTCTTACTGTTAATGTTGTATAAATATTTGAAAATTAATGTACAAAAAAAATCTGCTGAATCTGTTGAGTGTTGCAGATATATACATATATTTTCAGGAATGACAACTTCGTAATGGATAACCAAATAGGGGATTCATTTCAGGGGAAAGTTAAGCATCCTTCTCTTAGTGGTTGTTAATTGCCTGTAGCTTTTCATCTAGGGAGTGGAGGCCTGTGAGATTTCCTGAATCCATGATGGTGCATTAGCTAGCATTGCCATTGTTCACACATTAAAAATAATCATAGTTGTTCTATCATTCTACCCCAAAGTATGATAGAATATATTTACATTGACTTTATATCCTCATGAGTCTTCTGAAGTTCTGAGTCATTCTGGAAGTTCAGGGGTGAAGAAATTTCATGTTTCCATTTTGACCTAACCAGGGAAGACTCTGTGTCTCCGTTTTGGCTATCTTAAATTAATACAAAAGAAATAAACATAATGGAAATTTTTATATATTCTTTATATATAAAGACATACCGGAAAATAGAATGTCCTTGTCCTCATACTTTGGGTTCTTTCTGAGGCAGCCTCTTAATCTACCCTTTTCCACCTCAAGCAAGTACCTATCATGTAATAAATGACCACTTGCTTGCCTGTTTTAATAACTTATTGCCTGAGCGATAATCCTTCAATTATTTCTCCTCGAAACACCTCTCCAACATTAAAAAATGATGGCAAATTTTAAAACACCTGAATTTAAATAGGTGTAAATAATAGTTTTTCTTTTCCTTTTTCTACCATCAAAACATCTTTGTAGCTTGGATTTACTACAGGACTCCCAGGTGAAAACTTTCTTTTCTTTTTCCTTTATTTTTCATTATTTTTTTTATGATTTCTTTGCATTTCTATTAAAACAAAATGGAGAAAAATCAATAAACTTGGTCCAGACCAAAAAAAGTAGCATCTAAACAATGAATTTTGTAGGTACTTTGTTCTCTATAATAGTGGCAGTTCTATTTGATGCATATATTCAAAGTTGACAAGACTGTATCTACTTTATTAACCAAGCTATTAAATACTCTATATGGACTCATTAATGAATGAAACAAAAGATATTTACTGTGCAAAATGAAGTTGTAAAACAAAAATAGTAACATTTCATTTAAAATCCTTAATATAGGAGAACTAGACATGAGAGCATCATTTACATAATAAGAAAGCCTTGGTATCACAAAAAATTCTTTGATAATGATTATGTTTAGGCATCTCAGATAATTATATATATATATATACATATATATATATATATGTATATATATATATATTCATAGCTCTTTTGGTCCAGGAATAAGTCTCAGTGATTGCATAAGACATAAGACTCAGGTTCAATTCATAACACTCACATAGTGTCTAACAACCATCTGTAACCCCAGTTTCAGAGGATCCAACAGATATGCAGCTGGTACACATACATGCACGCAGGTAAAACTTTCATACACACAAAGCAAAAAATTAGAAAAAACAAATATTATTTTTAGCAGTCAGTACGTCAAATGCCATATGCCTTTTCAGCCTACCCATGTGCATAAGAAAGAGAAATTTAACCTCAAAATAAAAATTAATGCTTGTGTCTAATTATTCATGAAGAAGATTAATTTGTAATTTGCAAAAAAGTACTTAAATAAATTCAAGTCATAACCATTCTTGTATCCTGCACGTGGTTTGCACATTAGTATGTCATTTGGCTTCCTTTCCAGGTTACAGAAGAATTAGCAGTTTAATTATTCTTGAGGAAAGATGTTCAATAAATTTTCTAACTACTTTCCACAGCCAAGTGGCTGTTTGCACTTAAAAGTTGTCAGGTCAGCAATATCTAAACTCCTTGCTTTGTTCTTTTTGTGCATCATGTCTGCATTCAGAGCACCAAGGATAAAATAATAGCCTAACCATTTTATGTGGATATAAAGTCTTGAATGCATTTTAGGGGAGGATATAGCAAGGCAGAGCTAGAGTGGAAAACTTGAAGTTGTGAAATTACATTTTACTTTCAAATTTGAATTTGCGGTTGATGAAAAGTTGGCTGGTGTCAGGAAAGTGCTGGAGTTTAACTCTTAGAAACTCAGAGTGCTCTGGCCTCAGATCCAATCACTGATGTCATTTCTTCTCCTTTGCTGGCTTTTCAGATCGGTTTGCTGTGCTTGCAAACAATAACTTGCAGATTCTCAACATCAATAAAAGTGATGAAGGTATATACAGATGTGAAGGAAGAGTGGAGGCAAGGGGAGAGATTGACTTCCGGGATATCATTGTTATTGTCAATGGTAAGCAAGAAATTATTTGTGTGCTTTTTGTTGTGTGTTTCAGCAATGTTTGTTAGAAGGTAAACTGCAAAATCAACAATGAATATATCCCTAGGAGATGCAATCTATGCCTGTAAAATCCACCAATTTTACTAAAGATATTTCTTATATTGCATTTCAACTAAACATCCAGTCTCAGATGCCATTACTTCTTAGGGCATCTTGATTTTTATAGGAAATGTATCTAAAAGAATACAAACCGGAACATAATAACATCTCTTAGTAGATTGATATTTAAGTTTCTGACATATGCATCACTTAATATTTCCCCAGTTTTAATAATTGAGTTAATATTGTTACTTTTTAGTTAACAATATCGATTTAAATCTTTAAATTCTTCACGAGAATTCCACAATAAAAGTAAAATCTGAAGTTTTGTCTTCTTATTCTTATTTATTAAGAGTCGACTGGAAGGCAAATATAGAAAAGTATTTCTGGCCATGAAAACATTCATGTCAAAACAAAGTTGACATTGTTTTGTCTGTGTCTGTTCACCCTAAAGCCAGTTGCATATTCCTTTCCTATACAAACTCAGCTTAAAAACTCTGATCATCTCTGGGTGAACGATACTAATTCACCGTGTTTTCCCTTTCTGGTCATAAGCTCTCATACTTTAAAGTAACTAAAACTTCATTCTGTAAAATAAGTGTTCACCAATCCCAGTATTGATTGCTTCTGCTTGAGGTGGTTTAGTCAGATTCTGTCAAGAAAGCATATTGACCAATGTAACCAGAATACTGTGATTTTTCTCTTGCATGTTCTTTGATTTAGTCCGGAAATTCTTTCTATTCCAATCTTATTGACTCTTTTTCCTTTTATTGGTGCCTTCTGAACCTCGAGATTCTCAGAAAGATTTCCCTGGCAATGTGTCTGTTACAGTTCTCTGAACCCCTCATAGATTTTTTAATGGAGAGTTTGAGACTTCAAAACTGTAAAAATAAATAAATAAATAAATAAATAAATAAAATAAGAAATAAAATATGGCTTTTTCACACATTGTTTTCTCTTTCTTAAATTACAATTTGTCTCTTGTTGTATTACTATTTTCTAGTTAATACATTAGTCTTTCTCAATTACTTGTTACAAACTTTTCCCTTATTATTCTGGCCTTTATCTTGGTCGTATTTTATTAGGCTCATCATGACACAAATACATATTTCATCAACATGTGAATAATACTGAAAAAAATGAAAATAAACTCATAGTGTATATAGAGGTATAGAGATATAATATTTATAAAATAAAATGTATTTTTGAGAAAATGCAATATTAAATATTTATTTCGTCATGTTACAATTAGTTTTGACTATGTTACAACTGAAAGTTACTTTCCTGGGGATTTCTAGAGAGTTTACCCCTTTTTCCAAGATAGTAAACATTTATTATAAAGTTTTCCCCTTATTAAAATATTTAAAGAAAAACAAATTTCACAAGTATTGTTTTGCTTTCAAAATGAGAGAGTTGAATTTATAAATTCATTGAATAGCTATATATATATATATTGTTTCATTCTACATTACATTTTGACTTGTAGAATATCTAAGGTCACATTGTATTTTCTAAGATGCTTAGACTTTTTTCTCACTATCACTTTTAACCAAATGTATTAATTAACCCCCACTATGGTTTTCAAGATGTAAGGATTCCCAAGTAGTTGTAATGCTTAATCAAAGAGAAGTTTTTAAATTATCAATGCTACCAATATTGCTAGAAAAGAATGACTCCTTGTTATTCAGAAGAAATCTAATAATGAAAATTTGTGATTTATTAAAATTTGGAGAGAAGAAGCTTTTTGTAGACCAAAGCATAATCATAAAGAATAAAAACTGGCCATGGGTCTGAACACAGCAAAGGAAATGTGACTATAATACATTATTTGAGGGAGTACAAAGATACTGATAGTACTAAATGGGTGAGAAATCAGGTTAGATATAGCTGAAAAAACAGAGGCAGGTCATAGAGGGTGTTGTGTATGTCCTTAAATATCTGTCTGCCTTCTATGGGATAATTATAGACCCCTTTGAGGAGAAAGTACTACAGAAGGGTAGAAAGCTCTTACTAGGAGAGAGGTAGGGAATTGTAATCAATAATTGGAACCCAACTAATGGAGAAGAAAATGAATGTGAAAGGATATAATTAAGCAGTATATGTTCAAAAATGTCATGTTCCACCTGACAACAATGAAGGTTCATTTTCAGATTCTAGTGTAGAGTTCTTGGTTTCCAGTACAGCACAAGCTAACAGAGTCTAATAAGGTGTGAATTTAAATATTTATGCTCAATTTGGCAATTACACACTTACAGGAGACATTAAAGGGAATGCTATCATTTTAATAGCTTAGACTGAATTCAGCATAAACGTGCATGCACGTTCATTGAAGGAGAGACATAGTGATTGCGTTCCTTTTGTGATTATACCTTCCTTAAATCTTGAATAGCCTGGAAAATAATTCAAGAATACATCAATATAAATGGATGGGATGAGATAACAGGCTTTTCTATAAAGTCCTCAAGATTTGAAACTAGATAATTATGGTATGCATATACACAAACATGTACACAAATCATACACAATTTTTTTAAAAATAAAGCCAGTGTTTTCTCCCTAACTTCATCAATATTTCCGTCTTGTCTGATTTCCAGCTCCCCACCTGTGAAAATGTTCTTTGATATTAAAAAACAGGGGGCATAAGTTTAAAAGTCAGTGCAAGGTTATTCCTATAGAAATGATGCTTCCTATTTTCTAAATCTTTTGTAAATTTATGAAAATGATCCACTAACCACAGATTTAAGCTTTATGTAATGGAGCTAGGAACAATTGAGGCTGGATGAAAATTATGTGGATATAGAACTCCAAGGCAATTCCCTGTTACTCTTCTTGTCCACAGTAGATGATAATGGTGGGATATATATCAAAAAGTCACTGGCTAACTGCATAGGGATGTGTTTTTCAGTAATCCCCAGACTGTGATCTTTGTATTTCTACCTGCACCAACTCATTTATGTAGGGCAGGGAAATGAGGAACAACCCTTTTTGTTACAAGAAATGAAACTTCACCATTTTCTTTATAATGTTTGTGAAATGTCATAGAATCCTAAGCATCAATAAAGAGAAAAAAACTACTGTATAGATTAATGCCATGAAAACAGCTAGCAATGAGAAAACAAATTTAATATTATAATTTGTAAGATAATGTTTAATAAAATTGTGGTGAGCCCACAAGTAGTATACAGTAAATGTACAACTGACAGATCTATTTAACTAGCCACAGCAAGTGTATACGTGCACACTACTTGGAGAACCCATTTTTGCAGGACCATGGACACAGCTGTCCTTTGGATAAGTCACTGTCAGGTTTGAAAAAATCTTGTGAAATCATGACATTTCTCTCTTTTATAGTATCCCGGCAGTGTATGAACCTATTTTTCCTGTAGAGCAAAGAGACACATCCCCACACACCATAAAGCCATAGTGTGAAAATGATCCAGTCAAGAGCTTGTTCTCATTGCCAAAATCTACATAAAAATGGTCCTACACACACTTTCTTCGTTAATAATACTCACTGACAAGAAAGGAGCCTCATATAGGAGGTAGTCTGCTCGACCAGCAGATGCAGGAAGGTGTAATCTAATAATATTATGTATTAGCCCTTCTCCTTGGTTTCAACTAACATAAGATCATAACACAGGAAATTAGCTGTTTATACAGGAAAAACGCCTGAGTTGCTAAAACTAGCTTCAGAGAGAAAAATTCTCACCTTGGCACCCTGCTGGAATCAAAAGCAGGGTCCCCAGAAGAGATTTTAACTAAACCAGCTCAATGCTAATGCAAACCAACCCAGCAGGTTAGTATAGCTAGCTGCAGGGCAAACTTCACTGCCCTGCCCCCTCTGAGACCTAAGGTGGCTTCTTGCCAGATGCATTGGTTTCTTGTGACTCTGTGAAAATGTATGCCTGATAATATTGCCACGGCCTATGGGACTGTTAACTTGTCTGTTTGTGTATATGAACTGAGAGGTTTGTGGACATCACATCTCCTTTTTACCCTTACTCTTATGCCTTAATCCTTACCTTTACCGTTGCCCTTAGCCTTACGCTTGCTTTGCCATTATCTTCTTCTTACCCCCTTTTCCCATGATGCCTTATGCCTGACGCCTTTACCGTTATTCTTTGTTCTTGTGTCGGACGCTTTGCCCTTAGCCTTATGCCATTACGCCTTCTTCTCTTCCTTCTTTCATCTTCCCCCACGGAATAAAGAAAATATAGGAAAAAACGTGCCTGAGTCAGTTTACTCTTCCCCTCAGATCCCATTCCCAAGACAGTTTTCACTTGTCACAGAAGTCCTACTCTGAACCCTCAAAGAGTGCTGTGGCTAGAACTCAGTAGTTCTTGATAAATAATTATATATAAATTACCATGCAAAATTTATGCCAAGTTCAAGGAAAGAGTGAAACCTTTTGCCTGCTGGGATACTTGATGCTGGTCAACTGGAGCTGAAGAGACTAGCATTGTTGAGACTAAATCTTCTGGAAGGCATCTCCTGATAGCACACCGAAACTGTGTTTGAAAGCAGCTAAGGTTGTACCTCATCCCAGATGCGGAACACGCTAGTGCAATATTCACGCAGATAGTACTGGTTTGGAAGTCATAAAGGGGTCATTGAGAATAACTGGGTTTTGACACTGTGAGAGGTCACAAGAGGCTGTTGGTGAAGATTCAGCCCCAGAGGTAATTGAAGGCATTGGTTTGAAGGGGTCATGTATAGAATTTGAGGCCCGGCACAAAGTGCTGGCAAATTTCACAAGAAGATCACAGTGTTTTGGAGATGTCAATATAAGGGATGACCACCAAGAATAGCAGCAGCTGTGAGTAGAGCCAGCTGGACCCTAGAAGATATCATGTATGGGCTGCAGGGAGTATGGAGACCTAGAAGTGATCCATGCCTTTTGGAGGAGCCCAGAA